TTGAATGGCCATTTTGAGGAATGTATCTATATAAAGTAACCCGACGGATTCATAAAACCTATCATGAAAGTAAAGTCTGCAAGCTTCAGCAGTCCATTTATGGGTTGAAGCAAGCATTGAGATCTTGGAACAAAAGATTCGACGAAGTGATTAAGACATATAGTTTTGATCAGAACTTTGACAAACCATGTGTCTATAAAAAGATACAGAACAAAATTATAACTATCCTAATGCTTTATGTGGACGATATTCTACCTATTGAAAATGATGTGGGAGCGTTATTGTCTACGAAAACGTGGTTGTCCTAATAGTTTCATATGAAGGACTTCGGAGAAGCTAGCTTTGTTTTAGAAATTCAGATCTTAAGAGATCGAAAGAACAGGCAGATAGCTCTATCCTAAGCTTCATATATTGATAAAATACTTATCAAATTTGCTATGCAAGATTTCAAGAAGGGTAATTTACCCTTCAGACTTGGAATCCAACACTCTAAGGATCAATTCCTTAAGACTCCTGGAAAGGTAGAACGCATGAGTAAGATACCTTATGCATCGGCAGTTGGTAGTCTCATATATGATATGTTGTGTACTAGACCTGACGTTTGTTATGCTGTTGGTATGATGAGTCGATATCAATCTAATTCTGGACTGGAACACTGGGTGGCTATAAAGCACATCCTAAACTACCTTCGAAGGACAATGAATTATATGCTAGTTTACTCATCACCAGATCTTGCTCCAGTAGGTTATACAGATTCAGACTTCTGGACTGATAAGGACTCTCATAAGTCTACATCAGGATCATTGTTTACACTTGGTAGTGTGGCCATTATTTAGAGAAGTATCAAACAATCATGTATTGCTAATTCCACCATGGAGGTTAAATATGTAGCAGCTTGTGAAGTCGCTAAATAAGCGGCATAGCTCAAAAAATTCCTAACGGACATTGAGGTGATGCTTACATCTGCACAACCCTTGACACAATATTGTGATAACAATAGGGCAGTGGCAAATGCTAAAGAACCAATAAGTCATCAGAGGGGTAAACATATTGAACATAAATATTATCTCTTGAGAGAAATAGTTAATAAAGGAGATGTGATTATCAGTAAAATTGCTACTGGAGATAACCTCGTGGATCCATTTACCAAGAGCCTATCAACTAAGGTTTTTTGGACATGTGCAAGGCATGGGGTTAAAAGACGTGACACATATACTCTAGAACAAGTAGGAGATTTGTTGGATTATGTACCTATATAGTATAGTTTTGCTGATGTAAAAATAACAATATTCTTATATTGAATAAAATTATATTTACTTTATTTATTATTGAGCATGCGAAGATAAAGTGCATGTAATCACTTGTGATAATATGAATTGAGTACTTGCATTAAGAACTACAGTGTAATACAACTTATATTTTGAACATAAATAATTTGTTCACAATCTATGTATAAGGGTTGACATCTTATACTGAAAGGTTGTAGTATCGACCAATGCAGTATTCGAGTTTGTGATTTGTCCTTACAGAAATAGTTAAAGTTGATACTGGTACACTTGGAGTGTATTGAACGAACCGCGTATCGAATTTAATTCTATAGCTAACCATGCGGAGAATTAAATTCCACTTGACCGCTGTGTATTTTATCTAAATCCCTTGACAGGATTGTATATATCTTTTCGTAATTTTAATTGTTCTTTGATTAATCAATGTGTAAGATCAATTTGATTGGTCAAATATCTCGATGAATTAGAAACTTGAGAATGAGTGGAGTAGAGAACATGAATTCGTGTCGTGAACCGTCACCCTAAAAAATAGGTAGTGACTACTTAAGTATTTTCTATTAAATGGTTAAATTTTTGCTCGGTGTTTAGCGACAATTAAACTTCAACATCTGTGGTTAGTTTACAGGACCTTTGAAGAAAATGATACTTAAGTTAGTGGGAATAATTAGAAGGGCAAAACAGTCATTCATGCTCGTACCTAATAATCGGATCTCGAACGGGATAAAATACATATATGACAGGTCAGAGAAAAGTATTACAGATTTATTGGTTTCTGTGATATTATATATTTCAAGAGTTCAGTTTTTTTACTTTTAGTAAGTAAAAACTAATAATTAGATTGGGTAGTGTAAAGTCGACTAGACAGAATCTAATTATTGAAGTTTGGATAATATATATCCGATTAGGTCCCTGTGGTAGCTCCATTAAGTAGTTAAACTTAATTACAATAATTTTAATAGTTTTAAGCTTAATTGTACTTACAACAATAAAGTTTTGTACTTAATTGTATTGTACTTAGTTGTACCTAGTTCTTTTTTATATAGATATAGAAAATCTTTTATAGGGTAAGTTTCGATCTGCATGAAAGATGTAATAATTTGATCATGGTCTTGAAAAGAGTTAGATTTGATAATCACTAAAATGATTTTTTTATTATTTTTTGAGAAAATGAGTTTTCGAATAGTGACTTTTTGAAAAATGTGTGGTAAAATAAAAAAATTTGAATTTACTTGTAAAATATTATATTACAAGGATGTGTGGTTAAAATAAGTTCGATAAAAAAAGAATTTTATTTTAATGATTGTCAAACAGGGGCTCAATAAGATAGACATATGTAACAAAGCCCTTGTTATTACCATTATGTCATAGTTTGGCTCCAATTTTTTCAAAAACTCATTTTTTTAAATTTATTTTCAACCACACATTTTCTTATAAATAATATTACATCTAAATAAAAAAATTCTTATTTTTTAATCACATATTTTTAAAAAATCACTATTCCAAGATACTTCATTCCCATAGTTACATTTTAATAGAGCCCAAAAAAAGGCTAAGAGAATGAATTTTTGAATAGTGATTTTTTAAAGAATGTGTAACTAAAATAGGAAAAAAATTTCAATTTAAGTGCATAATATTTTACTCTAAGAATATGTTATTGAAAAGTATATTTGAGGAAAAAATTTTAAAATAATTATAGACAAACAGGGCAAAAATTCCAAGTTCAAACGTGTAAATCTCCAACCACACAGTGCTAGGGATGGCAACGGGTCGCCCCGCCCCGCATTAAATGGGGTGGTGGCGGAGCGGCTTGCTTCCCATTTATTATTTTAATGTATTATAATTATAATTATTATTATTATTATTATTATTATCATATTTTCGAAATTTCAAGTTATGCTATTATTAGGAAATAAAATACAAATTTAAAATGAGTTTTTAACCAGTGAATTATCCAAAAATAAAATTATTTTTAATTTTTTTCTTCACGGGACGAATTTTTTTGTTATCGCTAATAGAGCACATTAGCTAAGGCTAAAAATAAAATTGCTTAGATATCCTCAAACTCTTTAGAGATAGATTTTTCACCTCACGTAATAAAAAGTTATTTTAAAAGTTACTTGTTTACTAAAATGAAAGTTATTTTTTAAATCATCTTATTAATGAATTTTTTATAAATTGACGAGTCATTGAGAAACGAAGACGTCTAGACTTTAATAAATTTGAATAAAATTCATTACAATGTGTAGGGGTGGGCGCGGATCGGTTCGGTTCGGTTCTAAAGAGAACCGAACAGAATCGAACTTTTCGAGTATCTAGTAAATGGATCCGTCGGGTCCAAATATAATTATGGAACCGTTCAGGTTCGGTTCCGTTCGATTCAGTTCGGTTCCGTTCGGTTCTGTACTATAATTTTTTTAACATTTATAACAACATTATATAAATACAGCTAATGATACATTCAATGATTTTGGAATGTCAGAGACTAGTAAACTACTTTGTTCAAATGATCGCTACGATCAAAGCTTCGGTTGACGAAGGTCACAGTTTCGATTTAAGGTCACAGTGTCGACCGATAATTATATAGGTTTTGGAATATTAGTGAGGCTGCGAGAGTGAGTGTGAGAGTCGAGACAACGTTATGCATTTTGGTGTTGATGTTTAGGGTTATTTAGTGGATTTGATTTTGCTTGGCTAAGAAATGAAACAATAAAATGGGTAATTGGGCCAAAAATTAAAAAATTAGAAATGAAACAAATTATTGGGCCAAAAATTTGGATTTAGAAATCATTAATTTGTTAATTTGTTTAGAAAAATTAAAATAATTTGATTTACTCAATATAAAAAAAATTAGAAAGATTCGATTCTTATTCGGTTCTGGTCTAGAATTGAGAATCGAACCATACCCGTCGGTTCTCAATTCAGATACCCGTTTGGGTATTTAATTTGACAAGAACCGTCAGGTTCGGTTCGGTTCGGTTCGGGAGATTTGCCCAGCCCTAACAATGTGTGCTGAGGATACATAAAATTGCGAGGACTTTTATCACCTTTTGACCTACATTCTATAAAAATTCATTTTTATTCCAAACTCATATTTAAATAAGCATCTTTCAATAATATAATGGGTAAATATATTCACAAAACATTTTTTTTTAACTACACTAAATTTTGATTACAATGAATATCCTCAACTCTTCTTATTTTTACACTTATGTTTTCAACTTTTATTAAAAGAATTTATCATCAACTCTCTATTAATTTTTATATCTTTTGATATCAGAGCCAAAAAGACATATTTATCTCTTGTATTTTTAAATAATTGAAATAAATAACTAATACAAAAATTAAACAAAATATTATTCAATCTTTCAATGCGCATAATTAAAATATTTGAATGAAAATCATTATTAGAAACAAAATATGTTAATTAATTGAATGTTGAGAATAAAAACATGATGAAAAAAAAGTTGAGGATATAAAAGTAAAATAGAGCAAATATTGAAAACTTTTCTTGTAATTCAAATATGATGTAGGTAAATAAAATAAATAAATAATAATAATAATAATAATAATAATAATAATAATAATAATAATATTGTGTTAATATAAATACTCAAATATAATTTTACACATAAATTTAAATTTTTTAATTACGCATTCTTTGAAAAATAATTATCTAATTTTTCTTAAAAATGGGGCTAAACACGCCCCTTAAAATCTAAACACAGGTGTGAAAATCGAGAATGAAGCACAAAGTTCGAAGGCTGAAACTTGAAAAGGCGCTCAAACGGAAGACTATAAAAAATCAGTTCGCAAAACTGAGGCTTTAAGGCTGCATAATAGACCACTAAATGGATCTTAGGCCAAGGCAGAGACAATCCTTCTCCGGCTTCACTCAAGCTGAAGTATATACTATTTTTCTTCTTCTTTTAAATATAAAAAATTTTAATTCCGGTTTTTAACAGCCAATTTTCTTAGTCATAAGTATATTTAACTAATTTTTTGCTATTTTTATACGTTGATTTTACTGGATCTTTGATGAATTGAAACGATTTTCTTCAGCGCGGTGCCGGTCACGTGTATTTTGTGCGAGCGTGTGTGGTTTAATATTTCTGAATCTTGGTATATTTTTCACTTTTTTGAATATGTAATTGCATACTGATTTAGTTGAAAAAGTTATATTAAGATCAAAGGTTGTGAGTTTAATTATTTATTTTGTTTTTTCAGTTATATTTTCTTAGAGTTTTGGTATTAGTATATTAATAATCCAGAAACTCGCTTGTGATTGGTAACCAATTCTCGTAAAAAAATAATATATTTGCTCAGCCTCAGCCATCAAACTTAATTATGTAAATATTTTTTGATGTTTGAATCATGTGCTGGTGAATCCTTCAGTCATCAATGGTTTAGTCCTTTTTGTTTTTCTAAACAACCAACAAGAAAAGTAGATAAGTAGGATTGTTACAGTTCGTTCTCGTATCGTTTTCAGCTGTGGTTCTAAATTCTTCTGTGACGTAGTCTTGAAAGTTGAAATTGTTAATTGCAATTGAATGCGATTACCACTTGAATTGCTCATGTCAAATTGCGCAATTTGTAACACTGTAGACCATTAGGGAACTTATCTTTTGTCATCAACCTAACAGGTCGAGAAAATGGAGCATTTACATAAAGAATCTAGCGAACAGTCTCTGAATGAGGAGTTTTATAAGAAATTGGCAAGACTTTTCAAGTAAACATCTCTTACGTGCATTAAGTAATTTTGCATTAGTTCTTGCTTTAGTAAATATTTTTTTTTGGCATTCCATTTTCTATGTTTGCAGTCGTTCCAGTGGTCGTGCTGGAAAACCTGTTGTGAAGTGGACTGAGGTTTTTCTCTTCTGCTTTTCGATTAACTAATTCCATTATAACTTGAATTTTTAATCTCGCTTGAAGACTTGTATTACTCATGTTACTTGTTTTTAGGTTCAAAGTTGGTTTGAGGACAGGCAAAGACTTGGTCCCTCTAGAGAGACTTCAAGGGTTGCAACTGAAACTGCTCAGATACCTGAAGGTGCATATTCTTTACACGTTCTTCAGCTTGTATCTAATATCTGGATACAATTCTTAATAGAGATTCCTCTGCTTGTAATAACTTCATCTTTAAAGCGCGCTTTTAATAATTGCATCATAAGTTACTGATGTGACCTCTATTTTATAATATCTTTGTTCTTTGTCCCCTTTTTTATCATGCTTGGTGAAGTTTGTTATCTCTTTCAATGTTGGCTTGCTTGCTGATTTATCTTTTATTCCACTGTGGGTTGTAGAGGGAGAGTTGCTAAATTTGTTCTATTCCCTCCTTCCCAAAATACGAGAGGGATATTCAAAAACTAACTAATTGCTTTGCTGGCTGTGGTAATGAGCCAATAATAGAAAATCATGGCAATATCTGGGTAGATATACTATAATATGCATTAGTGATTCAACATGTTTTATCCTTGGTACAATATAAGAATATGTCAATAGACTTCACCCATCTTTTATAGTTAGAGTTGTATATAAGTTATTGATAGACACGACCTTACCCCACTGAATGAATATGTTGCTTCTACTGATCTAGTTGACTGATTCTTTCCTTTTCTTTTCTTTCTTAAAAATTGGGACGGAGAATGACTGGAGGGCTCTCTCTTTCTTTCTTCGTCCTCTCTTCCCCTCTTGAGTGTCTGTGTTTCGTGGCCTTCTCTATACAAGAGGTAGAGAGTCAGAAGTTCTGCCTAATTATGACAAGTTGATTCTTTCTTGGTCCAAGTAACATTAACTTAAATTTAAGAGGCTCACTTTGACCCTTTAACATCCTTTTATGAGCTTATGATTGTGTGCCTCAAGTAACGAGAGGGGTGTTAATGACCATTTTTTTTTTTTTTACAGGCAATTGCTTATGTCTTGTTCTATATGCAGATTATGATCCTAACTGTGGATTTTTTTACTTTTACTACTAGTTCTCATGAGCAAAATCATTTTTCTAACCTGCATATAATGTGTTGCAAAGGAGTTGTATGCTATTTATATTCTGTTTTTGATGTCATTTCTTTGGACGAATGAAGATTTTCTGAATTTAAAAAAATCCATTGCAATTTTAGATATTGTAGAAATTAGAAGATCATAGCTAACATTATTTTGGTTGCAGGTGGGGACGATCAAGATAGAAGGCTGGAATTTGAAGCACTTTCATCAAAAGATGGAGCATGGTAAACCCATATTAGTACTTACAAAAGGTCTTCTTAGTAAAAGTTCATTATTGTTGAACATGTAAAATTTAACTTAGCTGTTTTCAGCGTCACCTCATGCCTGCTTTGTTAATGTTTCCTTTTCTTTTTCAGTTAAATGAAGAAAAATAGCATTCATTGAGCTTTTTTAGTACGAGGGAAATATTTAAATCATTGCACTAGTTAACATGCATCACATTGTTTAACGATTTCGAGTAACTAATTCTTTGCCCATCGAAAATTGATTTGGTGTTGGATGCTCGAATAAAACAGATTGAATTTTAAAATGCGAGCACTGGCATAAAAATTTCCTTTGCAGTTGAATTTTCACTTTTCAATGTATGATTCACGTGTACTTATTATGCAGCGTTTTTGGTTCATTTTCATCAACAGAAAAATCTGCTATTATAGGAGGGATAATTTCAGAAGATATTGTTATTGACTTCTTGGAATCAGTCACTTCATTTTATTATTTTCATTATTGAGGTTGATAAATTGCACTTAAATAGATGCAAAGATCATAACTTCATTTGTTAATCTGCACTATATATTAAGTAAGCATCTAAATTTTCAGTTAGTAATTATCTTTACTTTTTCAAATGTTCTTTCTACAGGTACGATGTTGAAACATTTTTATCACACAGACTTCTCAGTTCCGGTGAAGTTGTGAGTAACTATTTAACTAATGGATTTTGTTCCTGTTGAGAATGGTTAACTTAATTTTAAGGAAATAAGTAAACTCTCACAAAAACTAATTTTTTATTGGACAAAGTTGGAAATAAGCAAGTTACTTGTTATGAAAGTAACACTAGAGTTACTTTTAGAAATTAGTGACTTTTTCACTTGGAAGTGAGAAAGCAGTCTGTTATCCAAACATACTTGGATATAAAGGTAACTTTCTTTTTTTAAGCTTAGCCGAACATATCATAGCAATTAGATGGTGGATGTTGCTCATACTGTAGATGGTGTTCATTGACTGTTGCTAGCTTGGGAATCTTATTTAGTTAATATCAGTTAGCTTGTAGTGATGATAAGATTTTGCAAAATACTGCAAAAAGGGAATCTGCTTTGCTGCTGTATTTTGGAAAATAGAGAATTCTAAGTCCAAATTAAATGCAGACAAATTTGCTCGTATTTTTATGAACTCAAGTGTGACGGATTTCAGTTCATTGTAGGAATCCCTTGTAAGATATGTTGGGTTAGGAGCAGAGGAAGATGAGTGGGTGAATGTACGAAACTGTGTGAGAGAACGCTCTGTCCCTTTGGAGGATTCAGAGTGCCAGAAAGTCAAGGTTGGAGATCTTGTTGTGTGCTTCCAGGTGATCCCTTTGATTTACATACATTTATTCTTCCAGTGTACCACCTCCTGACCAATTGCTGGTATCACGTAATTCATATGTACCATCAACAGAGGATTGGTTGAGGAATCATAAAGGACTAGAAGGGGAAATAGAACCAGAATAAGGAGCAAGTTCATCTCCACAATTTTATCATTTAGACAGAAATCAATAAGTTGGATTAATTGGCTGTAAAACTTGCTTTAAAGGCTGTCGATGAAATCAACCCATGAATACCAATTGGCATGTTATATGCAGGAATCCATCTAATAGTGCAAATTTGGACCTCGACTATCAGTTCAGTAATAAATTCAGAAACAACATAGTTTTAGTATATAAATGGGATCCCTAACTTGTATTCCATTATGATGGGTTTCAGGAGAGACGAGATCAAGCAAGGTATTACGATGCTCATGTTATAGAGATTCGAAGAAGATTGCATGACATAAGAGGTTGCAGATGTATTTTCATGATTCAGTACGACCATGATAAAATAGAGGTGTGTACTCTTTCATTGTTATTGTCAAATTCACAAATTTATGGTTTCTTTGTGTCGTCGTCTGTGTAAACTTTTTCTCTGCTAGGAGGAAGTCCGTCTCAGGAGATTATGTTGCCGACCAAGTATGCTGGTAGAATCAGAGGAGGATTAGCTCAGAGAAATTAACTTCGAAGTGCTTTTCTTGGTAAGCCATCTCTTCCACATAAGATGTAGGAGGAATGTGTGGGGAATCTAATTGGCTAAATAGAGTTGAACATTGAATGTGACTTTAAAGTCGAATTCTATTGGGTTGAGTATCAAAAAGGTCGGTTACAATGATTTCGATATAAGTAGACTAAGGAAAAAGAAAAGTACTTTGCAATGGTGTGCTGCCAATTGTATCATTTTGTCTTGATTGATATGCATGTAAAGTTCTTATTCAATCTTGGAATGTTAAATTGACTTTATTTGAGCTTTTCCTCGTAATGTGTTGCAAGAGGAGTAACATATCCTCTACCCTTCTTACCCTCAGAAAGCAAAAATATCTTGTCTTGAATTAATCTAGTTGTACATTCATGTTTTGTTTACAAACTAAGAGACTGTTTGAGAGTGATTTTGAGAATTGATTTTTTGACCGTTACGAGAAATGTGGGGTCCACCTGTGAGAGAAGAAGTCAAAGATGACTGTTGTAATAGTGAAATAACGGTCAAAATATCAATTTTTTGAGTGAAAAAAATCGCTCCCAAACAGGCTCTAAGCCTTTGTTTAATTTTCATTTTTTTAAATATATTTTTCTTTTTCTTTTCAATAACACATTTTTCAATAAAATAATATTATACGCAAATCCAAAACTTTTCATTATTTTTTAAATACATTTTTCATCAAAACATCATTTCAAAATATAGGGTTCAAACATGTTCTAAAAGCGTCGGCAAGATTTAGGTCATTTAGGTCATTGATTTCAAAAATTGTTTTTGAAATAATTGATCTAAATATTGTCAACACATATTTGTAAATCAAGTTTGTCAACCTAATTTGTAAACTACCTTCCCTGGATAACTCGCTTCCACTTGATTTTCTTAAAAGTATCTTAGAAGATAGAATACCAAAGAATTTAAATAATACTAAGAAGTTATTTTGGGACTGTCCACCCCAAGAGGCACAGTATCCTCTCTCACGGTTCTTGTCGTTGCTTATTAGGACAACCATAGCCGTCTTGTCTTATAGCATGAGAAATAGCATGATTCTCTTATCTTATATATGCAATGGTGGATTCATGATTTTGAGTCAGTACTAGTGGTCGTTGGTTGTCAACCGTAATAAAATATTAATAGCCCTTTTGGTGTTTATTTTTTTTTTGCTAAAATTTATTTTGGAATATTGATTTGATGGAGAATGTATGATTAAAAATAAGGAAAATTTTTGAATTTAGATGTAATATTATTTTATTAAAAAATGTATGTTTGTATAGAGAAACATGTATTTTGAAATAAATAGGAATGAAATAATGCATACAATTTAAATATAACGATTATTTTGTTTAAATTGAACAAATATAATTCTGTTATAAGAATAAATCGTATTTACCAAATGATATTTTCGTCAAGTTTTGTATAATTCAAAGGAGGAGCATGAGTTCAAATCTTTACAATTGCATTAAAATAGCTAAAATCTACCACATATTATTTTGTTAAATTTAGTGTCAAAATTCAAGAAGTGCATAATGGTCAAGCTTTTAATAATCGTAACAAGAGCTCGCACGTTTGAATCTCCTTCGGCGCCCTCTCTATTACATTAATTTTGGTAAAAATTGTAGAACAAAAAATATTACACAATAAATTGGTTGGTAAGGGATTCGAATCCGAGACTTCAAGCTCTAACCAACTTAGCTACAAGAGATATTTGAAATTAAAATGAATTACCAATATATAAGCTAAAAAATTTATCTATTGTCAACAAAAAAATTACTCTCAGTGGTCCAACATGCGCGATCACAGGTGCTCGCTCTGTGCTAGATCCCCCACTGTATATATGTGAACGGCAGTAAAAGTTGAAACGATTTATAGAAAGTGTACGTGGAATGGTGGGTCCTTGTTAGTGAACTTTTTGCATGGTTAGACCTTTTAGTTTTGTTATTGGTAATGTAACATTTTTGGATTTTTGTTGACTCTAAATATATTGACTTCTGTTCTTACTCAAAGATACTTCGATCTCTAAATTCTTAACACCGTAATATGATTGGGTATAGAAAAAAGTGGAAATTATACCCCATATATTAAATTAGATAAATATTCAAATCTTACATTGCAAATTTTTTTAATCCAAAATGACTACAATATATGGTGTAAAAATAATAATAATCACTCCTATTAATCAAATTGAAGGCTAACATCACTCTACCAAACACACCACCTCACCTCAAAGAATAATGTTATTTACAGTCGCTCACTGCGACAGTTGCCCTACGTAGCATACACATGACAGGTGGTTATTTGATGCAGTAATGAATAAAAAAATATCATATTAATGCATTAAATAATCACTTGTCATGTGTATGCCACGTAGGACGACTACCGCAGTGAACGACTACGAATAGCATTACTCCACCTCAAATCATCCCCCAAAAGCCCCAATTGACAGACTCTTCATTCCAGCAAAAATCAAGAAAACTTCAAAATCGATTCCAAGAAATCCTCTTTCATTTCGAGACGGTCGTCTTCATATGTATAAATAGATTTCTCCATATTTTCTGTCCGAAAACCCATTCTCCAAACTTGCAATTTTGGGATTTTTTCGTCCATATATAAACCCTAACACACAATGAGATAATCAACATCCATGCGTTGTCATTCGTTCTCTTCACCGGTGCCCCATTACCACCTAATCGTAATCGATTTTCAAGAAAGCAATCCTTTTATCGATTTCCATCTCGTCGGAACTCTGGTCGTGGGCACGCCTTATGTAGACTCAAATAGGTTCGTGATCGAAATAGTGATGCAATCTAAATGCAAGAGGTAAGAAAAGAGAGAAGTAAACCAAAATTAACAGGGCCTAGTGCGTTGCTAGTATTATTCTGTAGACATTGAAAACTTTTGCAAATAATAGCAATGAATCATATATGTAGTCGACTTTAAATTTATTAAGAATTTGGCTTGGTTTATTGTTGGAATAAATGAGTTACTAACGAAATTGCTTCGAGAGACTATATCCAATGTTAAAAGTAAGATAATATTGGGGATGATTCAAGATTTATAGTCTATCACTTTTAGATGACATTATGTAGTATATAATATGCCAAGTTAATTTATTATAGTGTTCAAACAGTAAGGGTGTGTTTAATTGCAAATATGAAATTTAGATAGAAAGAAAACAAATTTTAGGTATTGAATTGTTTAGAAATTATTTTTTTGGGAATTGTAAATTATTGTGTTTGATTGGTATAAGTTTCCAAGTGAAAAATGTTAAATGAAAGTGTTTTTTAATGTTCGTTTGACTTTGTTTTACATGAAAATTGTCAATTAAAGGAATAGAATTTACTGGTATTGGAAATAAAATTTGTTTCCATTGCCAAAAAAATAAAAAAATCATATATCTTTTTGGTGTTCTTGGCTTTGTTTTACATGGAAATTGTCAATTAAAGGGAAATATTTTTTTTTTACAATAATTCTTAAAATTTGTTTCCATTGTCAAAAATAAATAAATAATCAAATCATCTATCTTTTAATGTTCGTTTTGTTTTGTTTTATATGAAAATTTTCAATTAAAGGGAAATATTTTTTTACAATAATTATTAGAATTTGTTTCCATTGAAAAAAAAAATCGCTACAGAAACCAATTCAAGGAAAAGTTGGAATTCCGCTTATATGACAAGAAAGTGGGAATTTGAATTCTATGGAAAATTTTGGACATCAAACTCTCTTAAAAGTGGAAGTTGGAATTCAAATTCCATTTTCGATGAAATTGGCCTCCTATCAAACACAACCTAAATTTTAAATTGCTCCCTCGATAGATATTATTATTATTTTATTTTTTTATTTTTTATATCTAATCTTTAATGTACTTTTATAACATTCAAACTGGAATCATGTTGTTTTTTTATAAAAGTACTACATGGGATTAATCTTAACATAAAAAAACGGAATTAAATGAGTTGATAACGTGAGATTTTTGGAATTGCAAGTGCATTAATTAAAAATTGGTTCAAGAATTTCTTATGTAAAGGAAAAAAATTGAAATTATTTTTTGGTAAAATTATCGGTGGCTTTTTCATGTTCCAAATCAACAATTTGATGTTCTCAAAGATCAGAAACTTGATTACATGAGTTAAAAGAGGTATTTGAAAAAAAAAACAAAAAAAAAAAAAAAACCTTAGTTCTACAATATTCTAAATTTTCAGCTATATGAGAAGGGTTTACCGATGTTAGTTGGATATTTAGCACATGTGAAAGTAAATTTACTTCGTGTTGGGTGTTTACTCTTGGAGAATGTGTTTTCCTTTTAATCAAAGAAACAAACATGTATTACACACTCAACTAAGAAATTTGTAGCGTTATCAAATATCAAGAAAGAAGTTGAGTAACTTAACAATCTTCTTTATGGGATACTTTTGGAACCAAAAAATACATCTTCAATATCCATCATGTGTAATAGTCAAGCCACTTTAGCAAAGGTATACAATGAAAAATCTAAACATGAGTCTGAGACACAACTACATTAAAACATTAATCAAGAGTGGAATGATTTCTATAAATTATATTAAATTAATTGAGAATCTAGCGAATATCTTAAGTAAATCTCAGTAAATCTCTAAATAGAGATTTAGTAATATCTACTTCGAGTAAAACTCATAAAATTAAGTATTCACTAATGATAGCAACCCTACATATCATTAGTTAACAAGTAATTCACATGTTCCAAGGGTAACAACAAGTCATTCGATAT